ATGATATGTAATGTTTAAATTCTCTATTTCATGTTTTTCTCCAATTGAAGTTTGTATGAAATTAATGTGAATGCAGGGACGATTTCTGTTTAAAGTTTTGGTGGCTGGACTCTAAAGGCCAAGTGGATTTAAATCCCAAGAAGGCAGTTGTCTCTAAAGAAACATGGCAGTAAGTATCATTTTGGTTTCTTTTAGCTTCCACGTATAGGTGTAAAAAGACAATAATTAATACAAAATCACGAAACTGTAATCACCAAAAAGAAATATTGAGAATGATAGCGCTTATTTTAAACACACATACCAATAGTATGTAAATAATTACTAACATGGAGTAAGTTTACTAAATCTGCTCATCTTGATATGAACGTTAGACACTCAGATTGTCACTAATTTTCTTTCTCATGAGTAAACATTAGTGGAGTAGTAATTCCAAATGGTGTAGATGCACCAGGGTGTAGAATAAGTGTAGAATAAGCAAAGGAATAAACTAAACTGCAGAACTATGTGCACAGTATCTGATCTTCATTTTTTTCTTCACAATAATAAAGATGGTACTTCTCCAAAATATTTAGGTCAAACAACTTTAGCACTAAGTAGATAGGGGAGGGAATGAAAAGGTTGTTAACACCTTTAGAAATTAGAAATTGATGATAAAGGCACATGGTCAATAAGGTTCAACTAAATTATGATGAGTGGCTACCAAGTTTGTATATATTAAGAAACAATCATAAGTAGAAAGCTTTTATGCAACTTTAAAAAAAATCTTTTAAGAATATATTGTATCAAATTTAATCCTTCCTTTGATGCATTCTTTTCTCAGATTCGAAACATCTCTGAACAAACACAACGCAGGGATTACTTGCACAGACTGGTCAAGGTAAACAAAAAGGACTGACTTATTTCACACTTATTGGATGGTGGGTAAATTGAGCTGTTACTTTTGGTGCAGAAGGAGCAATCTTATAGCTAGCGCATGCAGGGGAAGGATCATCTGTGTGTATGAGGACCATAAAGAGGTGGGTTTCTCCTAAACTTCTTTGGTATTTTTAGTAAGTGATAACATGGTGAATTGTAGTACAATAATGTGCAATGTGCAATGTAGGTGTATGTGCTGAGTGCAAAAAGGACTAGAGCACATAAAGGGCCTATTCATGATATCAAATGGTGCTGTGAGGTACAATAGAAATTAAGTTTTTTTGTGCATTTTAGTACTTTCGTGATGTGTTAATGTTCAGCGCTTTTATTTTTCCAGGAGCCCAATATGTTGGCATCAGCCGGAGGAGATATGGTGGTGAACATATGGACTCTAACTGGACCACATGATGAGGACATCACTTCTACAGATACAACCACACCACCTACAGCTATAGTACCATCCATTCCACCACCTGAAGCTAGGCCAGCAGTTCACAAATATTACACAAGAAGGGATCGCAATGTACCTCACCGAAAGGTTGGGACACTAAGTGGTACATCACCACCACCAGGAAGTAGTACTTCCACAAGCCTGCCATGAAGATGTCCAAACTGGAAACAGAAATGGTTTCTATTGTACCCTAGGTCAGTTCATCAGCTTAGGACTGCTGCTTTACTATAACTGTAGACAAATTGTCTTCCTAACCATGGGCCACATACTTTGGTTTGCATATGGATGCTTATTATTATGTACTCCTTGGATGTCAATGCATGGCATCTATATGCATAAACTTGCCTGTAAACTCTGACTGTTACGAGAGGCCTGCTTCTATATACTGCCTAGTTCAGGCTTAGTTGGAACTGTTGTTTAGGAGGATCCTCCAACTTAATAACATGATATGACTATGATATTGTTAGCCTATGACCGAACATAGGAGGGTGAGAGTGGAGAGAAAAAGAGAACCAAATGAGTGGGAGGCAAGAGTCCCCCCTCTACCTTCCCTCTCTTCCCCTTTTATAGAGAAGGTGGGAGGAGAGGTTCTCATTATTTCCGCTAGTGGGTCTTGTATTTTACAAAATAACCTCTAGGGGCTACAAATGGGCTCTAAATATTATATTACAAGCTCCCAAGCCATGTAATTGGGCCCTCTATGGGTGTTTGGAGGCTTTCACAACAGGGACCATCAACCTGATAAGATCATGTTATCTAACTATAGTGAGATTGAAAGGAGTCATGCTTTCTCTAAGGGGTTTTCCACCATAGTTGTATTACAGTTGCATGGAAGCTTCCTCATCATCTCGATGAAAACCATCCTTTCTATCCGTCCATAGTGATATTGTGGTTTAATCAAAGCTTCCTCACCATCTCAAGTCCCAACACACCCCATCAACGTGAATGTGCACCCTATTTTACAACTCCCATTGGTATAGAAGACATATGTCCCTACAAGTGAGGAAGTAGAAAGGTTTCCCTCATGCTTGATGTGGGACATCAACTTGATAAACTTATCCAAGCAAACCAGGTTAAAACTTTGAATAATACTAATCACAATATCAAAATGTGGCAAGGTTAAAAAGGAAACATGCTTTATAAAGGCATTTTATATTTGTAGTGGTATGGTACCTCAGTTGAACCAAAGCTTTCTTACTACTCAACAAACCCAATCCTCTTTATAATATTCATTTTTCAGTCGTAATGTGGTTGGACGGAAGCTTCCTCACCATCTCAACAAACTCTATCATTTGCGCATGTAAGACAAATATGCATCCTATTTCATAGGATACATGCTTCCCTCGAAGCACCATGAAGTCTCCCTAATGCATGCTGTTGTATATTTTGCAACACCCATCGACATAAAAAGGATATACGGGGTTCTCTACAAGCGTTACAAAGTTTTCCACTTACTTAATTGAGGTTGATGTATGCAAACCAACAAATACTAGAACTAGTCACATGACCAAAGTATAGCAAAGGTTAAAAAGGAGACACGCTTTTCCAAGGATCTCTCTCCATTTATAGCGGTATTGTGATTGGATGGAAGCTTCCTTGCTATCTCAACAAACCCTACCCTTTTTGCAAGCATGCAAGACGAACTTGGCACCCAATTTTACGTCATGCATCCCATGTGCGTCCGATACAAGCAGAAATTGCATGCCAAATCTGCATCCTTTCCTTGTCATGTCGGTGCCATGACTCATCCGTGTCACCGCTAAAAATTGTGTCCTTTATGGGTGTTTGGAAAATTTTCACTCATGCTCAACTGGGGATCATCAACCTGATAAAATCAAGTTATCTCTAACTACAATGAGATTAAAAGGACTTATCCTTTCTCTAAGGATGTTTTCCCATCATAATGATATTGCAGCTGCATGGATGTTTCGTCACCGTCTCAATGAACCCATCCTATCTATCTGTCCATAGTGATATTGTGGTTTAATAAAAGCTTCCTTATCATCCCAAGTCTCAACATGCCCTATCGTAAATGTGTACCCTATTTTACAACACCCATTGGTATAGAATACACATGTCCTGCAAGTGAAGAAGTAGAAAGGTTTTCCTCATGCTTGATTACGGGCCATCAACTTGATAAGCTTACCCAAGTAGACAGGGTTACGACTTCAGATAATATCAGTCACTAGATCAAAATGTAGCAAGGTAAAAAATAGTCATGCTTTATAAAGACCTTTTTATATTTATAGTGGTATATATCTCAGTTGAACAGAAGCTTTCTTACTATCTCAACAATCCCTATTATCTATATACTATTCATACATTTTTAGCCGTAATATGGTTGGATAGAAGCTTCCTCATCACCCCAATAAAATTCTTATCATTTGCGCATGCATGAGGAATGTGCGCCCTATTTTGCGGGATTCACGCTTTTCTAAGAGCATTATGAAGTTTTCCTTGATGAGGTATTTTTTTCAACACCCATATATAACCATAAAAAGGATATACCCCGTCTATAAGTGCTACGGAGTTTTTCACATGCTTGATTAGGGACCATGACGTATGCAAACCAATAAACACCAAAACTAGTCACATAGCCAAAGTACTATAGCAATGCTACGAAGTCTTTCACATGATTAGGGACCATAACGTATGCAAACCAACAAACATCAAAACTGGTCACATAGTCAAAGGATTATAGCAAAAGGTTCAAAAGGGAGCCACGCTTTTTCAAGGATCTCTCCATTTATAGCGGTAGTGTGATTGGACGGTAGCGTCCTCGCTATCTCAACAAACCTTACCGTTTCTATAAACGTGCCAGACGAACTTGGCAGTCAATTTCACACCATGCATCCCATGTGCGTCCGGTACAAGCAGAAATCGCGCGCCAAATCTGCAGATTTCCCGCGGAAGGCTCATTCCTCGCGTGTTGGTGCCATGACCCATCCGTTTCATCCCGTGGCTCCTCCACCCGCTGACAAGTGGACCCACACAGCAGAACTCGGTGGGCTACGGCCCAGACGCGAGCGAGGCCCAAACCAAGGAGTCCACCGGCACGGCCTCCCTTCTACTTCTTCTGAAAAGAGAGCTCGCCCGCCGCCAGCCGGAGCGAGAAATTTCATTATTTAACCCTGAATTCGCAAGCCTCTTAGAATTTGACATCGAATTCGCAAGCCTTTCAATATTTAACCCTGCGCACGCGAATTGTTTCAATAAGAGGGATTCTTCTCTTCTCATCTCCTTTCTTAATTTCAATAAATCTTGGGTACTGTTTGGGACATGGGAAAAGACCTTTATGCCCCTCTCTACACAAAAAAAGTCTGGGAGAAGATCCGGCTCTTGGCCTGTGCGTGCTTGTGCTCTGTCCATACAGGCCCTCCCCAACTCCTCTGTCAGTACAGACCCCCCAACAGCTACACACATGTGTTGTCAAAGAAAAAACAGCTACACACATGTAACATATATTTGATAAAAATTAATGTAAACAAAGTACAAATTATAATCAAATTTCAAGATAGAAAAAATAACATTAATATAATTTAAGAGTACAGGTTCACTGACAATAGCCATCCATACATTTTAGTAAATAGGTTCAAGTCAATACAACCATACAAGCAATTTAAAGAGTACATGTTCACTACAATCATCCAGCCAATTTAAGATTACAGGTTCACAAAGACAAAGGAAACTCATCCAGCCAATTTAAGATCACAAGTTCAAATAGACAAAAGAAACATCCTGATGGCTGGGCATTACAAAAGAATCATCCTGATGGCTGGGCATTATAAAAGCCATTCAAACATCGATCTTCTTTGCCTTCTTTGGAGTGAGTTTTTTCTTCAGACCTAGCCTCCTCCTTGGAGTGGTTATAGCATTACTTGCTCCTTCTCCAGCTTGACTGAATACAATAGGAAAATTGAGTGGTTCAGTACATGAACTAAAATAACCACATACATGTTTAATAAAGTGAATCATTTAACCTTTTTGTCACTGTTCTAGGGCTTGTACTAATCTGATTTGTCCCTCCAAATCCAGCCAATGTTATTTGCATTTGGCTAAAAATGAGACAAATGTTTAGAGTAAAAAATGGAATAGTATTCCAAGTTCTAACTCAATGTTGAGTGCATAGAAATTCACCTTCTTGTAACAGCCCCGGGACTAGTGCTAATTTGACTTGTGCCTTCTGGTACTTCCACAAGTCCAGGACTATTATTCTCTGAATTTTCTTGCACTTGAACCTTCTGCCTTTTGGATGAACTAGGAGATGCATCACCTTTGCTACAACCAAGAGACCTACCTACCTTTCCTTTCTTGGCCATGACCTAAGCATTGTTTACACTGCACCTGCCACATGCCTTTGCCTCTGGGCTTATTTCCCTTGTTCTCAAGGCAACTAGGGGTTCTCAGTTTCTTTTGTCTTCTAGGATCCCTCTTTGTGAGTGGTGGCAACACTTTGAATCCAGGATTCACACGTACCCATTGGGACTTATCAGGTAGTGGTTTGATCACACCACCATAGGCTAGTCTAAAATGGTACACGGAGTAGTATGGATCAAGGTAATCTTCCATCTTAGGATTTCTATGTGTGGTGATTAGAAGCAAAGCATGTGCACAAGGTTTCCCTGAGACTTGCCACTCCCTACAAGTACATGTGTGATTCTGAATATTAACCACATGTCTTATGATCTTATGGGAATCTGTGACCTCTGTCACCTTTGCTTCATCCCGTCCACCTTCTTTTATTTTCAAGTGACCCAACTGCCAACTCATTGCATATAGTTGGCGAACAACTATTGGCAGCATTACATGTCCTTCAAATTTCTCACCAATTCTCCTCCTTCTTGCATAAAGCTCCATGAACTTTGACCTAAGAGTGTCAGCAAGTTCAGCTATGGGAAGGTCCTTGATGTCCTTCACCCAATTGTTCCAAACCTCAGCCACATTATTAGTGATATGATCACACTTTATTGCCTCTGAAAATTTGCTCCTCATCCACTTCAACTTGTGATTGGCTTTCAACCATGGCTCAACATTTTTATTTACAGCATACATCTTGTTCATCAAGTACTCATGGTATTCTGGTTGGAAAGTCCTTGCTGCAGGATACATTCTCCCAAATGCAGGTCCTTGAAACCTCTTACTGAAATTCTTACAAAACATTCTCTATGCTCTGCCCAAGGGTATACATTCTTCACTGCATTCTCTAGACCCTTGCAAGCATCTGAACTTATAGCTAGGTGCGGTGGATTCCCAATTGCCTTTTGTAGCTGCTGCATAAACCAAGTCCAATTATCAGTACTCTCACCATCAAAAAAACCCAAATGCAACTGGAAACATCCAGTTGTGCCCATCAAGTGCTGTAGCTGATGGTAAGTGGCCACTCCATCTACCATTGAGAGCTGTGGAGTCAATACTTAAAAATGGCTGACAACCATTTAGGAAACCATCAATGCTTGGTTTCAAACAATAAAAGAATCTATGGAAAAATACACCTTCCTCCTTATTCACGACATCTATCTCCACAATACTTCCTGTCATCCTGAGCTCAATCTCTGCCTTGAAGTTGAACAAATAACCAAAACTTTCTTCCCATGTCCCATGAATTTTTTCTCCAGCTATAACAAAACCCATATGCACAGTACCATACCCAATTGTGATATCATATTTGTCCTCCAGCTCTTCTTGCAATTTTTTTGCACCCATGGTTGGATGCTTCATTAGTATGGGGATTGCCTTCTCTACTACCCAATGGTATGATGCCATCTTGGTCTTTAGTCTTGCAGTAGATGGACAAAAATGTTGTTCCTTATTCAATGTAATCTGTGAAATAGAAACAAATATGTTAGTAATGCAACACACATGCATGAGGACTAATAATGCATAATAAATTAAGTTAGCATACTGCATATAAGTGTTAGTACCCTGACTTGGATTTTATCAGGCATCAACCTTGCTACAATAGGCCATGGACAACCCTCAGCTTTGCAGTACCCTCTGAACAAATCTTTGCAAGATTTCTCAGTTCCAAGTTGAAATTTCCCATTTATAGCATGCTGCTTTACTGCAGCCCTGAATTCATTCATACTAGCATATATGGTTCCAGCTTTCATTGGAGGGTCTTCTCTGTCATATAAAGCAGAATCCTCACCGGGTACACGATCATGAACCAACATGTCGGTATCTTGTAGGTCCATATCATCAAGATTAATTGTGGCCGCCATCCTAGATTGCTCAGCCCTCTCATCCTCTGCCCTGAGGCCAACAAACTCATACATCGCATCTTCATCCATCACAGGAAGTGCGGCACCAATTTGATCTTGTCCAAGAGGAATAAACTCCATACTGTCCCAGTCGATTGTATGAGAAACAAATGCCTCCTTACTTGAATCTATTGGTCCAATGACATTATCATGCCCCACATTGCTTGCTGCTACCTCTGTTACAACTTCTGTAGGTTTGTCCTCAACATCAACAAACAAGAACAACTTACTGTCACCCATCCTTTCAGAAAATGCACGGAACAGATCTGTGTCATTCAGCAACTTCCTTTCTCCACCACTCATGTCAAACTCATGTACTACAGGCTGCTGGCTACTTCCCCAATTGACCCTAGCTTTCAAGTCATTTTTTAGCATCTCCAAATTATAAGATCGGCAATCCACAACCCATTCATCATATTTTCATAGCACATCCACAGAGCAACCATCATCGAGCTTAGCAGTGAACTCAGAAAACTGAACACACAACCTAAATGGGCCATCCCGATCGACTCTACCATGTGTACCAACAAAAAAATAAATGAGACACAAAATCAATTTTGTGCCCCTCACCAAGATCAACAGTACTGTAAAATTGAGAAACTGAGAAGGGAGATTTAGGATCGGGCGCTTACTCTGGAGGAGCCATGGAGACGGAGGGGGAGGACGACCTGCTGGCGTCGGGCTAGCAGGGAAACCGCCGGCGGGGAGCTCGGCCGCCCCTAACCCTAGGCCGTCGGGCCAGGAAAGGGCGGCGCGCGGACGGGGCCGGGAGGGCGGAGGGGCCTGTGAAGCGGGGGAGATCAAGCCGGATAGACGGTCGCGGGCGTTCTCCGGCGGCGGGCGGCCACCGGCATCGGGCGGCGGCGTCTGCGAGCGGCGCTTCTCCGTCTCGCGAGGAGCAATGGAGAAAGAACGAAGCCTCTCCCAAAGTTACGTACGAGTACAGCTTTAGGATAGGAATAAGGAGGCAGGGGTAGTTAGGTCATTTTTCATGTCCCGTAAAGTGCTAAAAGATATTAGAAAATAGAAAATTAATAAAAATCTTAGGAATCCCTCGGATTAAAACAATTCGCGTGCACATGGTTAAATATTGAAAGGCTTGCGAATTTGATGTCAAATTCTGATAGGCTTACGAATTGAGGGTTAAATAATGAAATTTCTCAGCCGGAGCCGGGTTTGTTTGGTGCTCGGCCTCCGTCTCCGTGTGGCCGCGCCGCGCCCGCGGTTGATTACTTTTGCTTGCTTCGCAGCCAAGACCAAGAGTCCAATCCGTCGCGCAATGTGGGCGCAGAGATAAATCTCCAGGATTTACGCGCCTGCATATATATCCGGGGACGGTCTAGTCCGCTTGTTTAGGCGGTTGGTTGGTTCTTGGACTCTCTTCTTCGGCCTCACTTGTTCTTGCGAGCCGCCAGGGGATTCTCTTCGGTTTCCAGGTTCTTTAGCTATCGAATTCGGTTGTTCCCAGTCTCCTCTCCTCCAAAGATAGCTTCTTTCTCGTGGCGCGGTCTCGACGGATTGCTGATCTTCTTGGGGTTTTATTCTTAATCTGCCCTGATTTGACCTTCAGGGAATTGGGAGAGGAGACGCCCGTCGATCAGGGAGAAGAAGTCATGGGGTCGTGGTGCTCCAAGGAGAACACGCCGGGGGGCAGGCAGCCGCACGATCACAACAGCAGTGCCGCGAGTAAAGGGGGCAAGAATCGGTACGCCAACTTCGGCGATGATTACCACACCCTGGAGCAGGTGAGGTCGATCGGTTCCCTTCAGTGTTTAAATCTGTGCTGCTTCTTGATTCCTTGCAATGCTGCCTAGTGCTGGTACATTCAGAAGCTGTGGGTTGATTCGGTTTTGTTGGATGGTTCTTTGTTGGTGTCAGATTAAGAGATTCTTTCACTATCCTCGTGTTTACATATTATTATAATAAGTTAGATTACTGGGAGCCTGAGGGTGTTTATAGTATTAGATTAGATTAGATAGATAATTGTAGCTGTCAAAATAGTTGTATTGTTATTCTTTGATGGTTCTTAAATGCCTCAAGGTTTGCAAGTGTCTTGATCCTTTAATAATTCTTGTGATTTAAGTTATTGTGTTGACTGTTGTCATCAAAGTATAGGGAAATTAATAATGTGATCTGGGAGGTCCGATATGCACCTAGTTGTTTCCTGGGGATATCATTTATGAATGATGACATTAAGCATCACATTCTTACCAGTGAAGTTGCCTTTTTGAACCCCTTTACCTTGTGCCTTTGCACCCAAGGAATTTTCTTTTATTAATCTGATCTGACTCAAGGTTCCATTCAGTTACACTGTATACCTTTTGTGATGTTATTTTCTTGCCCTCTTTAATCTAGGTTACCAATGCCCTTGCACATGCTGGTCTGGAGTCCTCTAATCTGATTGTGGGGATTGATTTCACAAAGAGCAACGAATGGACAGGTATGTTTGTGCTGATCAGCTCTGCGAGACGTAACTATGTGAACTTATGCAAGAGTTGTTTTACTTTTTCTTCTTTTCTTCTTTCTTCCAACAGAAGTTCTGATCTGTTTGTAAGCGCAGGCAAAGTGTCCTTCAACAACCGGAGCTTGCACGCAATGGGTAACACTCCAAATCCATATGAGCAGGCCATATCCATCATAGGGAGAACCCTCGCACAATTTGACGAGGACAACCTCATACCATGCTTTGGATTTGGCGACAGTCAGTTCTAACTTGCCTCAGTTCAGTCTTTTTGCATAAATAAAAATGCAGATATGTAATATCTAAGTTTCATATTGCAGCAACTACTCACGATCAATCTGTATTTAGCTTCTACCGTGATAACCAACCGTAGGACGGCTTTGAGCAAGCTCTTGCTCGGTATAGGGAACTTGTTCCGCAACTTAATTTGGCTGGTTGGTGCACCATTGCTTGTTTTAAGCTTCACATATGACAACATAGTAAGATTCATTTGGCTCATGTGTGATGAATAATGCTTAACAGGTCCAACTTCGTTTGCGCCAATCATTGAGACTGCTATTGGAATTGTTGATAGTAGTGGTGGCCAGTATCATGTCCTGCTTATAATAGCAGATGGACAGGTTTGTTCGAACTCGTATTCAGTTTCTGTTGTATAATCGTAATTCCTATCCTGAAGAATTCGTCATGATGACATGCTATACCCTCTAATGTTCTGGCTATGGTTTTCTTTTGAATTTTCCAGGTTACACGCAGCGTTGAAACAGGCAATGGTCAGTTGAGCCGACAGGAAAGGGAGACCATAGATGCCATTGTGAAGGCTAGGTAACCATACGCCAAATATTTCTGTGATTAAGACTGCTCTTGACTTACCATGAACTAGTGTTTTGGTCATATACTAAGCTTTTATGTCTCAACACTGAATCCATCAATGCAGTGACTACCCACTTTCAATTGTGCTTGTTGGTGTTGGGGATGGGCCATGGGACATGATGAGGCAATTCGATGATAACATACCTTCCCGCGCATTCGACAATTTTCAGGTAAAAATTGTATAGTCGTTCTCTGGAACCATGGCACCCCATCTTTTATCAAACATGCATGAGAAACACTAATTACGCTGGTGGAATGGAATGCAGTTTGTGAACTTCACACAGATCATGTCAAGGCCTATACCCGCCAGCAAAAAGGAGGCAGAATTTGCTCTTTCAGCACTGATGGAGATTCCAGAACAATTCAAGGCAGCACTGAGCCTCCAGCTTCTTGGGTATTTTCTTGTCCACCAGTCAAAACCTTACTCATACCTGGAAATTCGGATCATCCACTGCCTGTTTATCTCTGTTTATCACTGTAAGTAGTCATCAAGTTTGTTTTTACATGTTTCTTGGGCAGCAAACGAAGAGGATTTCCGAACCGGCCAGTGCTGCCTCCACCTGGGAATGGTGGGCTGAAATACTCTGGATGGTCAGCAGTAAAACCAACCGAATCCACTAGCTACGGATCAGCGCCTGAGAAGCCATCTGCACCTCGACAGGACAGTGACATTGGTGATCCACAGGTATGTGTCAGTGCCATTATAGTAGAGACAATGAAACATCAATGTGGATATGTTCATGAATGTTTTTACCTCATCATGCTGAAGTGCTGAACTCCTTTCCTGCATGCAGACCTGTCCAATCTGCTGGAGCCAAACAAAGGACCTTGCTCTCGGGTGTGGGCATCAGGTACCGGATTGAACTGCTTGGAAGCCCCCGCTGAAATTTTTCTTTCTTTATGACGGCGATATATCGCCATCACTTTGGCATCAGCTATAGGTGAATTGGTAATAACCAAATGATGGTTGTCTGAAAATGCAGACGTGTTCTGACTGCGCGAAGGATCTGAAGGTGTGCCCGATATGCCAGAGGGCGATCTCGACAAGACTGAAGCTCTACTGAAACAAAGCCCTTGAGAAGAGAAGCTCATTGGCAATCATCAGTTGAAGAGGAAAAAAAACTTTTGATATGATTAGATATATATACTATATAGGAGGTTCTGCAAATTGATTGGCAGCAGGAAGGCTGTAAATAGAAGGTTTTTGTGATGATGAATGCTCAAACTTGATACTTTGTGTGTGGTTATGGCAGGCATGCATACAATTGGTTAACGAAATTAAAGAAATGGTCCATGTCAAATGATTCGTTTGAATCTGTTATAGTTTTGTTCCTATATTCATGCCAAAATAATATAAATAAACAATATAGTGAAGGAACACAGGTACGTGCATACCTGGGAGCAGGTGATGAGTGAATGCCTGCCTGCCCGCTTTCTCTCCTCTCCTTTCTCTGAAGAAAGAGCACGAAGCTTGCAAGGAAGGAGATGGAGCTGCTGCTGCTGAGGCAATGCAAGCAACCTGCATGACTCCCTCAACGCCAACCGGGAGGCACGCCATGGACACGATGGCGTTGCTTCTCGGATGGCATTCAGGGAGCCAGGCAGCACGAGCCGCCATGAAAAGCAGCTACATGTACACCTCATGCTGTACATACATATGCATATTATTGTACGACATAGAAATACAGATGAGCCACGACATACCTTGAGACCACGACGACAATGCTTGGCAATTGCCATCCATGGCGTGCTCTGTATCCTACGCGAACGTACACACCTCATGCTGTACATATAGATGGTGACGGACGCGCGCGGCAACGTCTGTGTGCTCTACTGCTCTGTGCTGTGCTGGTGGTGGGATCGCGCGCGCGGGCGCGTCCAAAAGCAAAAGGTCGCAGCTGTGAAGGGTACGTACGGTGCCGGGGCTCTGGACCCCGCCGGGATGCCGGGAGCCCGGGCAATGCCAGCGACCAGCGCGCAGTCCAGCTAAGCGGCCGGCGGCATGCATGCATGTGAGCGCGGTGAGCCGGCCGGCCGCCGCGAGCCTGCGCGTTGCGTGGCTGTGGCTGCGGCTGCACCAGCACCAGCCGCGAGTAGCACAGCGCCGTGCTGATCAACTGTTGTAGTAGTTTGCAATGGCAATGCAAGCGGCAAATGCAAACGTAGGGCAGGGCAGGTAGGGCCGGTACGCAGCAGCCTTGCCTAGGTAGGCGACGATTCCTCCACTGCAGGTCGACGACATGACATGCTCGATTCAGATTCAGATTCATTTCAGGGACGACGACATGACATGCTCGATCCGACACTGTTACTGTTACCGCCCGATGGCCGATGCCAAGCAAAGCTAGGCGTGTTTTGGGTTTTGGGACGTATTACCGCTACATACGCGTGGTGAAGTAATTTAGTCAACCTGCAGGTCTGCGTGAAAAGATGAAACTAGTCTGTTACGGGATGCTAATCATGCAAGCAACTCAGGTCCTCAGGCCAGCGCGTGTGCAGAGCACGGCACAGGACTTTGGGCCGTGCCATGCCATATTGCCATTTGAGAATGGGTCATGCTCATGCATGGCACGACCTCTTGGCATGGCTCAAAACGTGACGTGGCACATGAAATTTCCGGCCGAGCCGGCATGGCGCGAAGCAAGGGTACCGTCGTGTTAGCTTGATCCGCCATGGTACCAAAATGGCATGTAAGTGCGTTTACCATGCTACGGGTGGAATTGCCTTACCTCTCTTCTAATCCTCAAAGGTATCATGAAAAAACATCGAAACTTTTCATAAAACGGTGCATACAAAATATATTTTCCTATATCATTGGCGAGCAAAGATAATCTATGGATTGTGGACAGACGGGCCATTGACCAGGATCGTACCAAATCCAAAACTTGATGTGCCAGCACACGGCAAGGGCGGGCGGACCTATAGGGCAGCCAGTCTTTTTGTACTAATAAATACATCGACATATTTATATAAAATAGTTACAATTAAGGCAATAACGAGCAAGTAGTGTGAACTTTGGCTTCTATAAGTAGGATAGGAGAATTTGCAAGTTCAATTCTTTCCTGTTTTCTCAGTCGTGCATAATCTACAGTTATTTCCTTGTTTTCTAAGTCATTGAATTTTTATTTTCTTGTTTTCTTAGTCGATCTACAGTTATTTTATTTTCTAAGTTGCGCATGTATACTACCGAGCTGCAATTTAAGTTTAATTGTTCTATTTTTTATCCTCTGCAAATTAACTATGGTAATTGTTCTATTTTAATTGTTATATCTTTTGTCATTTGATAATTGAACTTGCAAATTCTATCTTTTATTCTATTTAGCGATGCATGATGTGCGCTGATGTGGTTACACGGCCTTTTTTTTCAATTTAGCTCCAAAAAAATGTGGAATCCACTTGCCATATGATGAGCGTCATAGAAGTTGTGTTTTGGTACCTACAATAAACAATGAAATAAAAAAACAATTGAGGTTTTGTTTTGGTCACTAAACTAAACAGTCTCCTCTAATATCATAGTAACATTTAGTGACGAATTGAGCTATTGTCATCTCATATCTGGCATAAAGATCTAATGTGTTGCTAATATATATGTAGTCACTTTCCTGAAACAATGAGAGTTTTGTTTTGGTCACTAAACTATTTGTCGTCGTTTCTACTTTAATCTTTGAATTTAAGACCTATCATGCTATTTAATGTACGTGGTCGTGGTTTTACCAATAGAAATATGGCTTTACTATATTGAAAGTAGTTTTATCTTTTTTTGTAGTATACCATGTGGTAAAATCCTAGGTCTGCCACTGACGCTCCCAAAAAGTGGCACGAAGCACGAGAGGACTAAGACCGTGCCGTGCATTAGACCCAGTTATGAGACATCCAACCCGCCCCGCTCAAAAAAACCCGACATGACAGTACACTGGCTGGGTTAGGAGGTTCCGGTCATGATTTTAGAGGTCTGATCCGACCTAACCCAGAGTAGAAAATTTTGAGACATAGTCTAACCTGCCAAAACTCGATCTATTGGTGTGTCTTATCAGGCTCAAATTCGGATCGAAATAGTCTAACCTGTCAACTATTGGGGTGTGTTTGATCGGGCTCTAGTTCGGACCGAAATAGTCTAACCTATCAACTCGATCTATTGGTGTGTCTGATTGGGCTCATGTTCGTACCGAAATAGGGTCTTCTCGATCCATTATCATTAATTTTTAGCAGTCGACTATTTGGATTCATCTGCTAATAGGTGGCTGGATAGTGAGTTGAAGATGTATACGAATGATTAGCACAAATTAGCAACCCCAAACCTGCTAAAGGAACTAATAATTAGCAGCTCTCCAGATAGTTATTAGCAGGACTGTTTGGATTCACTAGTATTAATTTTAGCGGGTAATTTTTAGAGTTAATAGATCCAGAACAGGCCCATAGTCTAAACTGCCAACTCGATCTATTGGTGGGTTCCGACCAAAGATTTTGATCCGATATTTTTTCTCTCGGTCTCTCCGTGCTGTGCGTGTGCTTCTCTCCCCATCTCCTCTCCTGCTGGGCCGGATGGGGGACTGCCGGCCCATGGACCGAAACGGATCCATCATCCATCCCCTTCTATCAGCCAGTCCAGCCCTACGCCACGTTGCTGCCCAAACTGCAAGAGCGCTGGGATAAATAAGATAGATCCACTTACACAACGAAATCATCCGAAAAAAATCCTAAAAATAAGGAGAGAAATCAAAGGGCCGATCAAAATGAAAGACAAAAGTAAACAAAGCTACTGAAAGAGGAACAAATCACCTACTCAGCTACTACTCCCTCCCTCCCTCCCTCCCTGGACTGATTTTCTTTTTCTTTCTTTCTTTGTGGAGGGGAAAAAAAGAGGAGAAATGGAGACGCATCGCATGGCATGGCCTTCATTTATCTGTCTTCCTCGAATACCATCGCAGCAGGCCCTTTTATAGCAGCAGGGTAGCAGTAGCACCGGGGCAAAAAGACGCACATGGCCTGCTGGGGGATGTGCGGGTGGCCAGCTCACGGCGTCGCGCCAGTCCCGCTGCGACGAGTGCTCCCGCCCACCCGCTGCCATCAGCAGTTCTTTTTAAGCATTAATACCCGTGAAAATTGATGCCATGTTGTCATCAGCTAACTTTTCTGTTGCTGCAACGTGAAGATACCTATCTGTGGAGAGAAATAACAAGCAAACTTGTGTTAAGCTCTTTGCAGAGAATTCGAATTCTCCCAAGAATGGGCCCTCCGCTCCGATAGCTTCCTTTATCACTAAACTTCTCATATCTCTTCCACCTAATCAACAGAGCATAGTCCACCCAGGTAAGTTTCTTCTACTATTTGACATGTACAGAAAATGGGTGGACTATTTCTCACAGCGGTGGATCTAGAAAAAATTTTAGGGGGGGCTGAACAACACATATACCGATCGCTGCTCGATCTTAAAGCCTCACCCCATTTCACACTATATAACTTTCGCTTAAAATTTCATGGGGACTCAGAGGGTTTCCACTGCTCCCGGCATGGGTGCATGGGGCTCAAGCGCCCCCTGTTGGATCCGCCCCTAATTTCTCGTACCTCCACTTCTAATATTTGGCATGTACAGAAAATGGGGATATGTTTGAATTCTTAGTTTGTAGGTTAGCCATTATGAAAATGAAAGGAAATCTGCAGTTTATTTAATTTGGCTACAAGAATGTATGCAGAATTTGAGTATAAAGACCAGGCAATACAAAATGTTATATTTCTAAATATATGAATGACCAGTGACTCAGCGAGGTTTGAAATTGGCAGCTATTGTTATTTCCAGCTGAGTTCTTCATTCTAATGTCCACAGAGCAAGTGGGAGTGAGTGACTGATGATGCCAAATGTTAGTTATTTCTATCTAACACGTGATTTACACATATGCAGGAATTTTCGACAAATAGTTGAAACACGACGGTTTTGTGTGGGCAATCGATAGCACAGTCACAGGGAGATTTGTGATTGAGATAGAGTTTCTTGACCCATCTGTAAGCACTGCCTCTCTGTCTTCTTGTGTTTTTTTGTCAATGGTTGGTACAACAACAACAACAATTAGTGAGTGGTAGGGTACGTGGAGTGCTGCCCTTGACTCCCCTGAAAATAATAAGGTCTAGTCTTGCACAGGTTCGCATGTATAGAAACTTCATCTTCTTTCTTGCGTTGAAATAAACAACCCAGTGGTCTTTTATTGGTTAGTCAGTTGATATTATATGTGATGTCGATATGACACCTGGAGATTTTTGTCGGAGGCTATATTAAGAATGCATAACAGAAACTAAAAAGGAAAACAGAGATCTGCTGCCACCTGCCACCCAAGGTCGACCTAATGTCAGGACAGCCTTTCTTTGCAACTTAAATTTGGGAGAGCCTTGCCAAACTTTCAATTTGTTCACCAGCAAATCTTAACATCAAGACACTATAACATGCCATCAACACATCAGTTACAGGAAGAATTTCACTGGCAGCCAACAATTTTTTTTAAAAAAAAATCAGTATTGACCTTGTGTGCCATGAACAATTCAAAAAAAAAAACGTTCAGTATTCTCCTTGTGTGCTAGACTACTTGTAACAGTCTGTATTGTATCTAATGGTTTCCATGAACTGCATTTCGTCAGGGTGGCGAACCGGCCTCAATTTGGGCCTCCCGCCAGATCAAGCAGTGCTCAGACAGCACGGCCCTGTCCTCCCTGGCTCGGATGCTGCACGAGGACATCCTCACCGACATCACCATCAACGCGGCGGACGGCAGCGTGCGTGCGCACCGCGCGATCCTGGCGACGCGGTCGCCGGTGTTCCGGAGCATGTTCTCGCACGACCTCCGGGAGAAGGAGCTCTCCACCGTGGACATCTCCGACATGACCCTGGACGCGTGCCGCGCCTTCCTCAGCTACATCTACGGCGACGTGCGCGGCGAGGAGTTCCTCGCAAACCGGCTGGCGCTTCTCCGCGCCGCCGACAAGTATGACATCGACGACCTCAGGGAGGCCTGCCACGAGAGCCTGCTGGAGGACATCGACACGGGCAACGTGCTGGAGCGGCTGCAGACGGCGCACCTGTACCGGCTGCCCAGGCTCAAGGGCGGCTGCCTGAGGTTCCTGGTGGACTTCAGGAAGGTGTACGAGATGCACGACGACCTCAACGCGTTCCAGCAGACGGCCGACAGGGACCTCGTGGCCGAGGTGTTCCATGGCGTCCTTGCTGCCTGGAGCGGGCGGTGAACCATGGGTGCATGGCATTTCAGTCTGCAGGTGTGTACATCTGGTTGGTTGGTTCAGCTCATCAGAAGCATTCGTCATGTTCCTTTGGCTTATAAGTCGTATTTTTTTAGCCAACGAACCACCTCATAACGAATTAGCCAACGGTACTTGATTGAAAAAACGTGTAAATATATTTGCAAACAGTACATGCATGCCAGTAGTTGGCCTGAAATTTACTGTGCATGCCTTGATTGGATTTTGTTCATATCATGTGGAGATCTAATTCTTGTAACCTATGTTGGAGCTGTAGGATCACTAGGATCGTAGATCTAGCCGGTAGAGTGATTCTATTCAGGATAGAAGATACAGTACTTCCTAATACATGTAGAACTAGAGAGACAGAGAGGGAAGAGAGAAGGTGTTGAACCTGACACCGCGGAGGGGATGATCCAGAGGCCGTCAACGGGTTCGTCGGTGTAGTCTGCGCACGGGCAGCGACGGTCGGTGAAGAGGGCGGTAAAGACGTCGACGTCGATGGAGCGGGCGGTGCGGCTGGTGGCTTCCCGTCACTGGCTACGCCCCTCACTAGATTGGGTTAGGCTTTAGGTGTCGGTGGGGAGCTCGGCTCAGGCGAACCTCGTGACTTGAGCCACCGGCCCCCACCTCTATTTATTACGCAGTGTGACGGGGGCCCTCCAGCCATAGTGGGCGGGGTGCCCCCGATCAGGGCGCGGATCAAAGGCCCAACTGGGCCGTTGGACCCAGTTTAGGATTAGAGATCAACCTAACAATCTCCCCCTTGATCTCCTACCATCTTTTAATTTCATATCATTTACTTTTGTTCATTCCATTACAGATTAGCGCATAGAGCATGTTTCATCGTCCTGATCAATTGCCGATAGATTTAACAGTTACAACACACTACTCTGTTCTGAAATAGATACTTATCTTTGAGCCTTCTTTTGTCCAGAAATTATAGGCTTTCCCTTAAATCCATGCCAGCTACATGTTCTTTGAACACGCTAGGTGGTAAGCCTTTTGTAAACGGATCCGCGAGCATCTTTTCGGTACTTATATGCTCAAAACTTATGACATGATCCCGGACTTTATCTTTCACAACATAATACTTTATGTCAATGTGTTTGACAGCACCACTTGACTTATTGTTGTGAGCATACTGTACTGCAGGATTATTATCGCAGTATAACTTAAGTGGTTTATAGATGTCATCAACTACCTTCAAACCGGGTATGAACTTCTTTAGTCGGTTCACCTGCCCCGTTGCCTCATAACATGCTACAAACTCGACATACATTGTGGACGATGTAGTGACGGTTTGTTTTGAGCTTTTTCATGAAATAGCTCCCCCTGTAAGAGTGAATACATATACAGACGTGGATTTTCTATCATCTCCCGCATAATCAGAATCTGAATATCCCACTATATGGAGTGAATCAGATCTTCTATACGTCATCATGAGGCCTTTCGTTCCTTGCAAATAACGTAAGACTTTCTTTACTAATTTCCAGTGTTCTGTTCCAGGATTGCTCTGGAATCTATCAAGTAACCCGGTAACAAATGCCAAGTCAGGGCACGTGCATACTTGAGCATATTGCAAGCTTCCGACAGCTGAAGCATATGGAACCGCTTTCATTTGATCAATCTCATATTGGTTCCTGGGGCATTGAAAATTCTCATATCTGTCGCCCTTGACTATAGGAGCAGGTGAGGGACTACATTTATACATACTAAATTTCTTTAAGATATTTTCTATGTATGCCTTTTGTGACAGTCCTAATACCCCTTTACTTCTATCTCGGCGAATCTCGATCCCTAGAACGAACGAAGCTTCACCAAGATCTTTCATATCAAATTTTAAGGACAAAAACTTCTTTGTCTCCAGCAGTAGACTGACATCACTACTAGCAAGTAAGATATCATCCACATACAGTACAAGGAAGATAAACTTCCCATTCTTAAACTTTGCATAGACGCAATTGTCCTCAACATTCTCTTTAAACCCAAAATTCCTTATTGTCTGATCAAACTTCAAGTACCATTGCCTTGAACCTTGTTTTAGTCCATAAATGGATTTCTTTAGGCGGCATCCCATTTGCTCTTTTCCTTTCATGACAAAACCTTTTGGTTGTACCATGTAAACATTTTCCTCTAAGTCACCATTGAGAAATGCCGTCTTTACATCCATTTGATGTAATTCTAAATCATAATGTGCTACTAATGCCATTATAATTCTAAAGGAATCCTTACATGAGACTAGAGAAAAGGTCTCATTGTAATCTATCCCTTCTCTTTGCGTAAAGCCTTTTGCCATAAGTCACGCTTTATATCTCTCTATATTCCCTTAAGAGTCAAGTTTTGTTTTGTAGACCCATTTACAGCCCACTGTTTTGGCTCATTTAGGAATTATCTCCAAATCCCAAACTTTATTGGCATTCATAGATTTCATTTCATCTTCCATGGCCTCAAGCCACTTTGATGAATGATCACTTCTAATGGCTTCTTCAAATGAGGTGGGATCATCCTCCATTTAAAATTCCTCAGTGTTGTATACTTCATAGTCAGCGTGAATAGCTGATTTTCTAACTTTTCGAGACCTTCTAGGGGCCTCCACATTTGGCACATCTTCTGTTTGAGGCTGTTGTTGCTCCCCCTCATGTGTGGCAATAGGTTCTACAGGATCCTAAAGAACAGGTTCCTCATCATCATTCATTGTTGCCACAGGCGGAATAACAACAGGTGCTGGCATCACAGTATCTTGCACTATCGGTGCAACGACAACAGGTAGTGAGAAAAATGGCTCATGAATCATCGGAGTGGGCGCATACACCCACTTCTCATCAAGGTCAATTTCTCGAGCTACCATGCTCCCCCTCATCATTTCATCCTCTAGGAAGACAGCATGTCTCGTTTCCACAAACTTTGTATGTCTGTCTGGACAGTAGAAATGAAAACCTTTTGACTTTTCTGGGTAGCTAATGAAATGGCAACTTACTATTTTGGAATCTAGTTTCCCAATATTTGGGTTAAATACTTTAGCCTCAGCAGGACTCCCCACACCACACACGTAAGTGGTTTAGTGAGGGTACTCTTCCTGTCCACAACTCATACGGTGTTTTGGGCACCGACTTACTTGGTACTCTATTGAGAATATGAATGGCGGTTTTTAACGTCTCCATCCACAGGCTCAACGGTAAGATGGAGCAACTTATCATACTGCGCACCATATCCATCAGGGTACGATTGCTCCTTTCAGCTACTCCATTCTGTTGAGGTTCGCCCGGTGTAGAATACTAGGCTACTATGCCATTCTCCTGTAAGAACCTTGCAAAAGGTCCAGGAACTTGGCCATATGGGGTATGCCGACAGTAGTACTCCCCCCCACGGTCGGACCTGACTATCTTAATCTTTAAATTGTGTTGGTTTTCAACTTCTGCCTTAAATATCTTAAATTTATCCAATGCTTCTGTTCTTTCTTTGATTGGATAAATATAGCCATAATGGGAGTAATCATCTGTGAATGTTATGAACGAATCATAACCATCCACACTCTTTATAGGAAACGGACCACAGATATCTGTGTGAATAATCTGTAAAATTCCTACGCTTCGTTTGGCATCTTTCTTAATTTTCTTTACATACTTTCTTTTTATGCAATCTCTGCATTGTTCTAAATCTGAGAGCTCTAATGGAGGAAGAATATCATTCTTAACTAGTCTTTCTATTCTTCCCTTCGAAATATGGCCTAAATGACAGTGTCATAATTTCGACAATGTATCGTGAGCTCTCTTTCGTTTTCTGTTTACATCCGTAGACGAGGATACATTCACATTGTCGCACGCAATGTTCCCATTATCGCATACAACATTCACATCATCACGTAGTGATAACAAATAAAGCTCATTTTGTAAGATAGCAAGACTAACACATGCATTATTAAATGTTATCTTACATTTGCCATTTCCAAAATGGCAATCATATCCATCATTGTCCAAGCATGAAACACTAATCAAGTTTCTCTGTAAAGAGAGAATATAAAGTACATCTCTAAGTAAAAGTGTGAAGCCATCAGCAAGCTCTAGAGAAAGATCGCCAACGGCTTTGACATCTGCTCGGACTCTATTTGCAACTTTAACGTGTCTTTCGCTTCTTTGCGTAGTCCTCGTCGAACAGAATCCCTGTAAAGAATTAGCAACATGAACAGTTGCACCTGAGTCAATCCACTAAGTAGATTTCGAATACTGTACATACAGGGATTCATTTATGAACGTATTAATGTTCTCACCTTTCTTTGCCATGATCATCTTTAAGTAATCGGGACAATCTTTCTTATAATGTCCCATCTTCTTGCAATAGAGACACTGGTCTTTCTCTACTGTAAACTTGTTTTGCTGAGGCTGATGCAGCATGGGACCCTTTCCCTTTGACTTTGAGGATGAGTTAGCATTATTATTCTTTTTTTGTTATCTTTCACATAATTGATAGTGCCACCATTGACAGTTTTCATTCTCTCATCCTCTTGCACACACATAGCCATGAGCCTCTCTAAGTCCCACTTCTCGGGCTGTATATTGTAGTTGACAACAAAAGTGTCAAATTCCTTTTACAAGGAAGCAAAAATCAGATGGATAAGGAACTCTTTCTTGAGAGCCAGATCCATTGGTTTTAGCTTGGATGCCAAATTGCTCATCCTTAGTATGTGCTCTCTTATGCCACCATTTTCAGAGTACCTCTCTGTCACCAGCTGCTTTATCAGCTGGGTAGCATATGTCTTTGAAGAGCCAGTGAACTGACTCTTTATTCTATCGAGGTACTCGGTGACCATGTCATACTCTGGGATTGAGTCCATAATTGCAGGCTCAATCGTGTTCTTTATCACAGTCAAACATTTCTTGTTGGCAGTGACCCACTTCCTATGCTTAAGGTCATATGACATATTTTAGGATTCAAAATCCCTCTCTCTAGTTGCCCAAGCGATGTCAGCCTCGTTTGTCTCCCTCACC